CTGGATTCCAGGAGTTCAGCTCAGTGTTTAGCTCTGAATCTCTGCTTCTGCTTCCATCAGCTACTGGGTATAGGCTCTATGATGGCATTTAAGATGGTCATCAATCTCATTATAGCGGAAGTGCATTTAAGGTAGCCTCTCTACTATTGCTTAGATTCTTAGTTGAGGTCATCTTTGTGGATCTCTGGACATTTCCCTAGATTGAGTTGGGGGAAGAATAGAGGAAAGCAAGAAAATCGATACCCTTAATAGAGGGAGTCATTATAGGTTTAAACAGACAGAGCTTAAGTGGGTTTTATTAGAAAGGAAAGGGGGAAGGAAAGAGAAAACAGATAGAAAGACACAGAGACAGAGAGAACAGAAGAGAAGAGGGAGACAGGAAAGTCCTGTATGCCCCAGGGGAACAGCGGGAAAAGAGAGCAGGAAAGAGAGGAGCAGGAAAGAGAGGAGCAGGAAAGAGAGGAGCAGGAAAGAGAATGTAAGGATTCAGGCATTCTGCTGGCCTGCCCCTGTCACTTGCAGAATTTACTCAGGCAGTATCTGGATAAGTCCAGGATTCCAAGGTTGCATAGTCTGCACACAGGTGCAAAGGACCCCTTTAAAAGAAAGACCCCTGTCCACTTACGCTCTCTTTCCCACTCTTTTTCCCTCCTTCTCTCTCTCATTCCTGCTGTTCCCCTGGGACAGACAGGACTTTTCCTGTCTCCCTCTTCTCTTCTGTCCTCTCTTTGTCTCTGTGTGTCTTTACCTCTATTTTCTTTCCTCCCCACCCCCATTTCCTATTATAATAAAGCTTCTTGCTATTTCCACTAGCCTCTGTCTGCCTGGCATGTTTGTCCCTCTGCCTGGGTCACCCTCCCTTGCCATGGAATCCTCCAGTGTTCCCCTCGAGACTGGGCACTGCAGGGCTCCTGTCTAGCAAACATGGAGCACTTGGAGCATAAGGCTTCTCCCATGCTCACACTCACCAGGAAGGATCATGACAACACAGCATAAAACACACCAGATCACCTAGATGCTGGAGACTAAAGTCTGGCTTGTCCCAGATCTACGAAAGGTGGTCATGAAGGCAGCTGCTGAACCTCCCTGCTTCTGCCCTTCTTCCCACTTGGAAATCTCACATGTGTTCTCTTTTTAATGTGCTATGATGGATCTGTAGAAGTGCACAGTTGTAGATTTGTCTACTGTTGCACAGAATCAGCAAGGTTATGGGGTTGGAGACCTCAGTAGTAAATTTCTGCCTTTCCTGCTTGTCCTGGGGCCAGCTGGCTGGCTGTTCCTTTAACGTTCTCCTGTGGAGTTGGAATTAAAAGGAAAGTAGAATCTGTGAATGAAAGAAAGACAGAGGGGACAGAGGATGGCAGACAGAACCAGACAGAAGTACACAGGGCAGTATAAAGGGCAGAGGCAGGTGAGGGCCAGGAGGGCCACAGATGCCCCCCACCCTCCTGGATTCCTCCAATGCCATTCCCATATTCCTCTTTGTCCTTCATCCTGACAAAGAAAATGACTGCAGATGTTGAAGCAGCATGTAATTGTTTGCTGATATTGTTGTCCCCAGGGCAAGGGCAAAATCTGGATTGAAAGTTCAGTTCCCCAGCTGCATTATCTTCCCATGTTGCTGATAACCCTGCAGGAAAGTAGAAAAAGAGGCTCAGCCATGAGGACAGTGTCAGGGATGGGTGTAGGTTGCATGTGTCACAATATTCACTTTGTGGGATAATTTAGTTGATGGCATGACTACTGCTGTCATCCTGTGGGTGTCAGAGACGCATGAGGATGTATCCACTGATTTATCCACTGCCCTAGCTGCATGTCTGCAATGCAGGTCTCAAAGAGGCTGGCTTATGTTCAGTGCTCACTTCTTTCATCTGCCATATGCTGACAGACATTCAACCAAACCCTTCATTGGAGCCCATTCTAGGTTCTCTCGAAGCGGCTCATTTTTCCTCTTTGTAATTGAGCTAGCTCTTCATTTGTACTCAGCTCAGATCCAGAAAGCACCAGGACCTATCAGGGAAGGGCTGAATTTTCCATCTTTGTGTCTCCTTGTTCTGAGTCCTCCTCACTGGAACTCTGGAAGACACAATCTGATTATCCTGTTGCTTGCCCAGGGTTACTCGTATGTCTTCATTCCTGTACATTTGCAACCTGAGACCTCTGTTACAGCTTCCCATGGCAGGACTCTGCCTCTGCTTCTCCTTCAGGCCAAATCCACAAGTGATTCCCCATTCTCCATCAATTAAATCCTAATTCCCCCTTTCTTACATTTGACTACCACCACCTATCTGGTCTCTTTAATGAGTCTATGAATTTCCATAAGTCTGTTTTCATGTGCAAAGCACGAATAACATCTTACTGCTCAGGTCCATTTTCTACAAAGAGATGGGATAGAAGTGGCTGCTTGCTCCTTCCCTACTAACGCTACATTCTGACTGCTGTGCGTTTATTGTTCCTTCAGTAGAAAGGCCTCCTCCCCGGGATCTCCTCACTCTGACTGCCCTTGAAGGCCTAGGGAACTGATACTGTGTCAGGAAACTTCCATCCCGTGCAGAAAGCTTCCCAATGACCTGCTTTATGTTCCTCAGAGCTGCAGACAAAGACCAAAGTGACAGTGCTGGAGGGAGACATTCTGGATGCCCAGTACCTGAGGAGAGCCTGCCAGGGTATCTCTGTTGTCATCCACACTGCTGCCGCCATTGACACCTTGGGTACCATTTCCAGACAGACTGTGATAGACATCAACCTGAAAGGTACAGTAACTCAGGAAGATACTGAGTGAGAGGGAAGAAAAAAAAAACAGAAAAACAAGTTTTTTGGGGGGTGGGTGGGTACTTTGAAACATCTTCTATGCTTGCTCACCTCCCTTAGACAGCAGAGCCCATAGCTGTTGGTCTCAATATTCCTTTAAATTTTTATTTTATTTTTAGTTTATGACTGCATGCATGTCTGAGCACCATTTGTATGCTGGCTGCCCATGGGGTGTAAAAAGGGCATCAGATCTCCTAGAACTGGAGTTGCAGAAGTTGTGAGTGACCATGTGGGTACTAGGAATAGAACTCAGATCCTCTGGAAGAGCAGCTAGTACTCTTAACCACTTTTTCCATCCCTCTGGCCCCTAGTCTGAATAGTTTCAGTGAGGAAAACAGGATGAGAGGGGAAGGAAGATGATCAAGACCCCAGAGACAGTAGGAGAATAAAGATTTAAAGTCACACTCCTGTCGTTCCAACTGCTAGAAAAGCTGTTCTCCGTGCCAGTGCAACTGGACTCCAATTCCAAACCCTTAATTTCCATCTACACTCTGCGTCCCTCCCAGGCCAGATCCAGACCTGACAAGTGTTAGCCAGTACAGCATGTGTTACTGTAGTTCTAAGAGAACCACCCTGCCCATCTAAAGGAAGGTGTCCCCTGCGTAGACCACAGCACAGGTTCTCCACAGAGGCCCACGGGGAAGAATGACCCAGCATTTCCCTGCCCATTTTGTTTTCCTAGGAGGCATTATTTCTCATGTCTTTCACACTAGCTTTTCAGCCCACTGTGGATCTATCTCCTCTGGAGGACATAGGCAATTCCCTTCACTTGGTGGGCCTTTCTGTATTATGGCTTTTTAATGTAAGTTAGGGTGAAACAGGTAAGTTTGCATGGGATTCCTATGTAACATCCTCCTCCTGGGCATCGAGCATCATTCTTGCTATCACCATTACACCCTCGGCAAAGTCCTCCTCTGTGTTCCTTATGTTGACGTCCAATATGGGCACTCCAAGACTCCTTTACAAAAGGAAAAAAAAACTGATTTAGAATTTCCAGGAACATCTCAAAAATACCCTTTCTAATCCCTAATATGCCTCCCTGGTGTGGCACAGGCATACCTGCAGGAAGGTGTCAAAAGCCTCTGGTGCTCCTTGACTATCTCTCACCTATAACAATTGCCTGTTGTGTTTCCTAGCAACAGGAGATGAGAAATGACAGAGATAGTGATTAAGGCAATATTTTACAAAATATTGTTACAGATTGAGAAAATATTGCACATTGATGGTTATTCATGCCCCCATTAGTAAGTAAAGTCCAAATTTAATTAGCAAATATATTTAACTTAAGGTAATGAAGTTGTTTCTCCAGGAAATCAAGTTACAGAGTGCATATTAATGTTAATAAATGAGTGAATTATAATAATAACAGCAACTGCTTGCCCAGGACATTCCTTCCTTCCTCAAGGCAAGATGCCCTTGCCTCTCCTCCAGGATCTGCAGATCTGCATTGTGTCTGCAGTGTTCTACCCTTATAGAAATGACCAGCAGTAGACACACATTCTTTTTCAGTTCTCCAGAAGGCTCAATAGAAAATAATTAAATGACATAAACAGCAAATCCTCATTCTTAAAGCTATGTTGCCAAAGTACACAGTAGGAACCAGAATCAAAGATCACAGATAGAGAAGGAAAGAAAGATCTGTAAAGGCTGGAAGGCTAGAAACCTTGGCTCCCAGACAGCAGATTTCACCTGTCCTTTTATATTGCTCATGTGCCCATGCCCTATTCCTGCTGATTAGGGAACAGCAAAGAATGCACCAAGATGCTGGGATTAGGCTGGAAATGAACAAGAATCATGTGGATCCCTTGGTTTATTTCCTGACACTGACAGTGTGCTGTCTGTGACTAGGTACCCAGAACCTGTTGGAGGCCTGTGTCCAGGCTTGTGTGCCAGCCTTCATCTACACCAGCACAGTTGAAGTTGCGGGGCCCAACTCCTACAAGGACATCATCCTAAATGGCAATGAGGAAGAGCAACATGAAACTACATGGTCTCATTCATACCCATACAGCAAAAGGATGGCTGAGAAGGCAGTGCTGGCAGCCAATGGGTCCACCCTGAAAAATGGTGACACTTTCCACACTTGTGCCTTAAGGCCCATGTACATCTATGGGGAGAAAAGTCCATTCACTTCTAACACAATGATCAGGGCCCTCCAAAATAATGGTATTTTGGATATTACTGGAAAATTTTCCACAGTTAACCCAGTGTATGTGAGTAATGTGGCCTGGGCACACATTCTGGCTGCCAGGGGCCTACAAGACCCCAAGAAGTCACCAATCATCCAAGGGCAGTTCTACTACATCTCAGATGACACCCCTCACCAAAGCTATGATGATTTAAATTATGCCTTGAGCAAGAAATGGGGCTTCCGCCCTAATTCCAGTTGGAGGCCTCCTCTGCCCCTGCTGTACTGGCTTGCCTTCCTGCTGGAAACTGTGAGCTTCCTGCTGCGTCCAATCTACAATTACCAGCCTCCCTTTA